ATGATGATTTTAGACAGGAGAATGATTTCATGCAACGGTTGTATAGTATTATAATGCAATCATCTTCAAAAACCATGTTAAAGACATTTGTTTAACACAAAATTTTAAATGTACGTTCCTTTTTTTTTAAAAACAATCACAAAAAAAAAAAAAATTGAAAAACTGCTCTAGAAAGTTTTCATTCTAGCCCAATTAATATAAGCCATCCATTTTATTAAGATGGTTAGATATAGGTCTCAAAAGGATTTTTTTTATTCCCAAAATTTTTATATAGGGTTATCATCAGTAGATTAATAATGCTAAAAAAGAAAATAGTGATTTTGAATTTGTTAAGACCTGGATCTCGAAATTCATCAAATGAATGGTCGAGATTCATTGTTGGATGGGTACTAATTTTGACCATATCTATGATGCAATTTGAATTTTTTTTTTATGATTGATTATGAGGATGAATAGAATGTGTGTGCAAAATTTGGATTCATACAAATACCAAAAATATAATTTTTTAGAGGTGTAGTTTCATTATACTACTATACAACTGTTGCATTAGGTCATTTCTCGACGGAGAGATATCAGACTTTCATATCCACAAAATGCCTTCAATAGTTATTCAGCCCCAAGGTGTAAGTGTATAGTGTGCTCCCACAGAAACATAGAACCTCTCTTTCAAACCAAATGTTCTAAGGCAGGAACCATGTGCACGTGAAAGTAACTCCCTACCAATTATCATAGGAAAAATCTTATATGCATCGGAGGGATATATTCCTACACTTACATCCCCTAAGGCATAAACCATCCATCCGAAAGATGGATGCAAATGGCGATCCCTCGAAAAAAAAATTAAAACCAATAGTCTCATTATTTTTTAACAAAATTGATCATTTTTAATTTTTAAATTAGTCTTTTTATGTATTAATAATCTCCCTTTTAGAGATTATATAGTCCTTACAAACGAGGTCAAAACCCATTTTCAAAATAGATTATGCACGGAAAGACACTCGATTTCAACTCACTGTTCGTAAAATTGAATCGAAATGATTAATCGGACATAGACTCAGAAGCGGTTTAACTGGCCTAACTGTTAAACCAGTTGATTGAACCGTTCTAACCGGGCAAGTCCCGAGTGGTGAAAAAAGTGTTGAATTTTTTTTAAAAAAAATATAAAAAATCTACTAAAATATGAAAGGCGTATAAAGAATGATTAAAACAAAACACATTCAAATGAAGTTGAAAATTAATGAAAAAATAGATTTTAAAAAATTGATTTGTGCCTAAGGGTATTTTTAATGAACAAAACAAACTTTAATCTTAACTATAATGTAAAGGATATTAAAAAAAGGAAAAAGTTTATAGAAAGTTCCAACCTTAAAATATAGAACTATGGATGCACCTCAAAAATCCATGAAAAAAAGTTATTTTAATATTGAAAAACCCTATGATTGATTATCTCGACATAGAGATGTATGACTATAAAAAATAAAAAGATTTTGGATCTCAAAAATAGTGCATCTTACAACATATTATCTATACGATCCATTTTCAAGATTTTTCATATGTTTATAGATTTACTTGATTTTAAGTATTTTTAAAATTTAAAATTTAAAATTTTATAATTAGATATGAAAATAGATTTTGAGATAATCTTAAGAATATTTTACATTAAAATTATATATTATGATAAAATTTGAAAGTGCAATTTAGTGGGATTGTTTAAAGTTGCAACCTTATGGAAACCACAGTCTTAAAAACACGTATTACAAAACCAAATTTTTTATATTTGAGAATTTATTGAAATTTTTTTTTTAATACGAGCGGATCATCAAAACCTAAACTGGCCTAGTGGCCGGTCCAATCTAACGGAATGGTTAAATCGCCCATTTTTTCCAAAAATGGTTTCATGACTGAGGACCACACTACGAGATCTTCACGCCGATAAAAAAGGATAAGTGGGAATTTGTCAGGAGCCACGTCGTTGCACCAACCCACCGACCCACTAGATGCTGTCCTCTAAATTTTTTATCCAAAGTCCCTTTGGATGAGTGCAGAGTATTGAAAAGTCATTGTTTAGATTATAAAAAAGGAAAAATGTGTCTCCGTTGAAAATAATATGACATCTACATTCTCACCAAAAAGGTAAAGAACAAAATTTCTTTTATAGATCCTATGAGGAATAAAAAAACAAAAGGACACCGGCATATCCACTCAATTTTAAATGCATGGAAAAAAGTATTAGGGACAAAAGTAAGTAAATAATTACTTAAAATACTAAATGATGGGATTATAGGCTTAAATTACAAGAGAATGTCTGTCAACTTATACTTTTTTTTCAAAATTACCCCTTGATCGGAATCCTCATACCGCATTTTATATATTTGATTTTTTTTTATTAGTAGGGCAATACTTGAAGCTTTAGGGGCAGCGCCCAAGTGGTTTGAGGTTAGAATCCTCGGACCGCCCTGCAAACACAGCAAAACCCTAGTAGCGCGGTCTAACGTTACCATCTTCGTTTTGTTGTCTTTCTAGAAAAGTTAAAAATAAAGCGCGGTCCGAGGATGGGGACCTCGAACCGCCTTGGAACTGAGTTATGTTTAGTCCAGAGAGTTGTTCGAGGTCCCCATCCTCAGACCGCAGTTTTTTTCAAAAAATAAGAAATAAAATATGGTTTGAGGATGGAGACCTTGGACTGTTGTTTTTTTCAAAAAATAAAAAACAAAGAGCGGTCCAAGGATGAGGACCTCAGATTGCTTAGGAATTGAGGCATGCTCAATCTAGAGGCCGGTCTGAGGATTCTAACATCTGATCGCATGGGCATTGCCCTACTACCGAAAAAACTAAAAAAATAAATAAATAAAAATACGGTATCAGGATGGCATCCTTAGACAGAGGAGAAATTTTGAAAAAAAATAAAAAAACGCAGGTTGACTGACCTTCTTTGTAATTTCCACCCTACTTCGATCATTTCGTATTTTAGGTAATTATTTCGTATCTAGATGCAAATCACTCTATTATTTACCTTTGATACAATAAGGTCACAATTACTTACAACCATCTGATGTGTTTTATGATAGCTTGGGTATGCTACAAAGTTCGATACTTTTGAAGATTGAAATTGGTCAATAGAATAAATGCATCCGCTCAATTTTACATCCAATAGTCAAGATTAATTGTGACTTTCTTATACTAAAGGTAAACGGTTTCATTGTATACTTTTCTACCGGTTCTTTGACAGAACCGGTCGGTTCAACCGAATTCTATTCAGTTCTCTAACATAATCGATTAGAACCGGCCCCACTTAATTTTTTTTTGTAAATTTTTTTTAATCTCTAGCTTGGTAGGCTGGATTGCCAATCCACATTACCAATCTGCCAAACCGGATTGAAAATACAAAGAGGCAATCTATGTCATTAATCCATTTTTTGAAACCTTGTCCATAATTAATGTTTCACTACAATAGATTCATTCCACTACAAGTGTTGAACTACGTTGGGAGTAAGTAGTGGGGTAACTGGGCTGGGCTTGGTCCCGGGCTGGGTCCTCCCTACAATTTAAACCGCATCGGCCATACCCAGCCAGGCATGTTAGGCCCAGACAATCAGGTCTTTAGCCAGCCTTTTGCCTTGCATTTCTATCATTCTCAATTTTGTTATGTTTTCAAAGAGTGAGAGAGTAGTCGATTATGTGTTCGTGTGGCACCACTTACTCATTTATGCAAAGAGAGATTATATGCTTACCAAAATTTTAGGAGTATTTTCAAGATTCTAATTCTTTTGGGGACGTAACCTCCACACCTTAGTGATCACATTAAAAAGAATAAATAATTTCCATGTATCTTTAAATATTTCCGGCTAAAACATGCGATTTTTTAGCGAAGTACAAACATGTATTTGAACTCAAAAATCAAGTTTCCTTTTTAAAAACAAAAAACAAACTTTTTTATTCCCAAAATATCAGTTCACAAAAGAAAATATCCTCGTAAATGACGCTTTTGCCCGAGGAAAAATACATAGGGAAACTTGTCAAAATACCCATAATGATAAACCATTCAACATTTTACTCATATTGTAACTACACTAACTAAAGACCGTAAAATTATTTTCAGAATATTTTGAAATTAAATAAATTTTTTTTACTAAAATGCCATATTATTCATGCTTTAAAGATATTTTGATAAATTTGTCATGATTATATAATATGTATTGTATATTATGAGATTATTTACTATTGTTGAATGAGGATTATCGTAATCAATAAATGTCAAATTGGGTGATTTGATTAGCCTTAAAAGATTTTTTTAAAAAAATTTGAGTCAAATCAGTGACGTACGAACAAAATGCACCGTAATATATGTGTTACTTTCCTCAATTTGTGGCATTTGTGAGCGTCGTTACATGAGTAGATACGAAAAAAGTAATCCTAAATTATTATCATGCTCGAGTAGTCCACCTTTCTTTTGCCTTAAAAAAGTTAAAACAAAGAACGAAAGCCCACCGATTCACACAATCCGTTACCTCATTCAATTATAAACCCAAACGGTCCCTATCACACACACACAGATCAGCTCCACGTAACACTCTCCCACCAAATTAGCCCCAAAATCATCGCCAATTAAAGAACTCCAAAACATAGCGACTATACTATACTATACTCCTGCCAGAGTATATATTGTACATTTACTCCCTCGGGGAGAAAAATGAAATTTTTTATGACTAACATGAGAAGATTTTTGTTTTGAAATTTAGGAACCACTTAAAAGTTACTAGATGATTTCATTAAAAAGAAAAAAAAATTGAACTTTTAATTTTCCATAGCTTAGACCTCAAAGAGTGGAGAGTTTCTGATCAAATTTTGAGGAGAGAATACAATTTGGATCATAAAAGGGTTTTGCCCGAGGGAGTAAACAGATAGTATGCTCCATTGGAAACATAAACTATTTTGGCAAAATTAAAACCCAAAAATATGGTCCACTAAGCCAGCAAGCATTCCCTCCAACTCTTTACTTAAAGCTAGAGAGAGGAGAGAGAGAGAGGACGAAGAGGGCAACAGGCCAAGACATGGAGAACATCAACCAAACCTTTCTCTCTCATCCCGAACAAGAAACCCACATCTTCTCTCTCAAGTCCATCACCATTGTAGCCTCAATCCTTGGACTCCTAGGCCTTGGCCTTTTCATTTCCCTGTACTCTCACTCTCTCTCTCTAACCCCATCTTCTCTCTCTCTAACCCCTCCAATTTGCACACAAACAGACCCATCCTCCTGCCTCTCATCTCTCTCTAACCTCCCAGCTCCCACCGTCCCCCTCCTCCTCCACCACTTGATCCACTCCTCTCTCCTCCACATCAACAATGCCCTCTCTCTCTCAAAACCGCAAAAGCACCAACCCTTTGCCGACTGCACAGAGCTCCTCGACCAGGCTCGTGACCGTCTGCTCGAGACTCGGGCTGCCCTCCGCACCCCATCGCCTCTCTCGCTCGCGGAGGCGCACACATGGCTCAGCGCCACGCTCACCAATTACATAACCTGTGAAGATGGCCTCAATGAGGGTAAGACCAAGCTCGAGGCAAAGGCGACGAAGGCCATGGTGGTTGCACTTGGCGAATGTAAGGCCATGGCGAGCACTTCGCTTGCCACCATCAGTGCAATGCGCAATGCACTCGGTTCGACCGAGGCAAGTGGGTACGAGCCGATGATTGAGGTTGGTTCGACGAGGTTACCGGCTTGGGTTAGAGATATAGAGACGAGGCTGTTGGAGAGCAAGGTTAGTGAGATAAAGGCAGATGTTGTGGTGGCGAAGGATGGGAGTGGGAATTATAAGACAGTGTCGGAGGCGGTGGCGGCGGCACCGGATAAGTCGAAGAAGAGGTATGTTATATACGTCAAGAAGGGGACTTATGAGGAGAAGGTGGAGATTGGGAAGAATAAGAAGAATTTGATGTTGGTGGGCGATGGCATGGATTTCACTGTAATTACAGGGAGCCTCAACTTTATAGACGGAACAACCACCTTCAATTCTGCAACCCTAGGTAAGAAAGGTCATATTTTGTTCCTGTGTCTTCCTAACCATATATGGGTTTAGAGAGAGATGGGTCATCTTCATGTTGAATTTAAATAGTGTTTTATATTTCACATTTTACGCTCACATATAACTATTGGAAGTGTATAATGTAATTGTTTTGTTCTTTTTCTTTTCTTTAGGACTTTACATTCCACCTGTGCTTTTTTTAAAAAAATTGCCCCGCCAATCACTTTTCTTTCTTTTTTTTTTATTGGGGCAGCACCCTAGAGTGTGGGGTAGTGCCCGGTCCATAAGGCAGTCCGAGGTTGGCATCCTCAAGTTGCCTTATTTCTTAGCAAACAAATGAGTTAATGAAGTCCGAAGATGTGAACCTCGGACCGACGTGAAGAGCACCGGAGAAGGAGGTTCAAAAATGCGCAATTCAGACCGCTGCTGAATGCATAACAAAGTTAGTCTTTGCGATCCGAAGATTTTAACCTTGGATCGTCTTGAAGAACACTATCACTATAGAAGGCGGTCTGATGATGCTAACATCAGACCGATTGGGCATTGGCCCAAAACATTAGAGCACAACTCTACTATTAAAAAAACTCAAATAAAATTTAAATGCAGTCAGTAGATGGTAGTTTGAAAACAAATACCTCAAGTTGACTAACTTTATGCATAATTTTAATTGAAAATTGACTTATTTCATATTTTAGTTATTTTTTTTTATTCAATACCTAATACACATATCAATACTTCTCACTATCACTCACCAATAGAAAACCAATCAATAGGTATCAAGAAATGTGATTTCAATACCGGATATTTTTGTGATAGCCTTAAAATATATTTTCATTTTTATTTATAAAGTTTAAAGCTTAAAAAATAGTGTAGATCTCATTGATATATGAAAACTTGAAAATCTTGAAAATTGATAGTCCAAATATAAGTTATAAAATGCACTATTTTCAAGACTTGAAATCCATTTTTTTTTCATTTCTATGCATCTTGATGTTGAGATGATTAATTTGACGATATTTGGGCATCAAAACAACCACTTTTAGTGAATTGTTTTTAGGTGGGCTCTAATTTGACTGTTTAGAGCCTCAGCTCTATATAAACTTTTTTCCCTAAAGGAATTGAGAGAAATAAAATTACCACAATAGCCCTAAATCTTGTAGGGTTATTTTAGGTTTATTTTAGTATTGAATTAGTTTTTGTATTTTTTAGAGGTCTGATGGCGAGAAGTATGGTTACCCAGAAACATACTTGAGGTAAAATATGAAACACATAAGATTTTTTTCAATTTTCAAAAATGAAATAAGATTTTTCTGTAAATTTATCAATTTTTTATATGGGTTACTAGTACAATTGGTTATTCCGAGCATGTGTTCAGAAAAACTGAAATAAAAGTTAGGAGTCTATACTTCAGAGTTGAGACCAATTTACAATATTTCTTCCTTCTTTTTATTTTATTTTATTTGTATTTTTGGGATCCATGTGATTACTCAAAATTTACCCAGTTGAATAAAATTTATCAGGTAAGTGATGATAATTATCAAGTAGCTATTATCAATAATTATAGAACATTACAGGAACCAATTCTTGACCGTCATTTTCCTTTTTCCTTTTTCCTTTTTCCTTTTTTTTTGGTGCGTACTGCGTAGTCCTTATTGCAAGTGTCAGATAAATTTTTTTATCTACTACGAGAGAAATAGTAAAAATGAAGTTACCAAATTTTATGATTTTATTTAGAAGGCACACGGAAGTCCTTGGAGGAGTTGGTTTATGAGTCCTTCATACAAAATTCATCTTAACAATGGATTTTGGATCTAAATTTTCAAGAATATATAATTCATGAATGTAAGAAAGTAAACAATTTTGAAATTTAAAAATGATATTTTGTATTTTTTTTCTTTTTTACACCTTAGCTATAGGTTTACTTGGATCTTTTTTTGGCAGTCCTTAAATATGGATATTTGATGCTCAAAGGGATCCTAACTCATCAAATATTTTCTTTGATATATATATATATATATATAGGATTTGGCTAGAATTAACAACTTTTCAAAATACAAAGGTTCAAATTAGAACGGGTTGTGATAGGTGTATTTATTAAAACAATCATTAATTTTTTAGTATAAAATTATTTAAAGAAGTAACTTAATCATTAAACAATGACAAATTTGAAATTTTCACAAAAGTACAATTTCATTTTGGAAGTTAGTGTCATGAAACTTTATTTATATGGTGCCTTTGTCTTTTGGTTAAAATTTCAATTTTACCTTTTATGGAGAAGATAAAAGTACCTTTTATTTTGTAGTAATATTTACAAAATTACCCTAAAAAAGTAACTTTTTTAAAGAAATAGACTACAAAATTAATAAATCTACCATTTACGACCCTCTCTATCTTGAACCTTTGTAATTTGAAGGATTGTGAAGTTTAGAATATCCCATATATATATATAGAAAGAGAGAGAGGCATATGTATCATAAATTATACGTTGCCTAGCACTATTAGGTTTTGGTCAAGTTTTGGTCTTGGCATGAACTGGGCGTGGGCCTTAAGACTGGCCAGCTCTATTCAATATTCAGGCTGGAGGGCCGAGCTTACCTAGATTTGATTAGTGGGATGGATCGTTTATCTACAAATCCATGTCGGATCATTAGATCAGAGATAATTAAGGCATCGATGGGTCTGAATAAGCGATCTAAAAAATAAATAAAATTATATATATATATATATATATAAAGGGATCGGGTGTATTAGTGGACTTAAAAAATATTAAACAAGCTTTAGAAGGAAAAAAGAAAAAGAAGAAGAAAGTAAAAGTAAGGAACGGTAAACCGGTAACGGTACGAACGACTAATACTACCACCGAACGTAACGTAACGTAACTAACCCAACCCTAACCTA